TATATATATATATATATATATATGTACAGATATATGTATTGTAATAGGTAAAATAACACCTGTACGCCGGGGCTGTTAGAGCAAACCATGACGCGGGTACGGAGGAAATTCACGCATTTATTTCAAGAAAACTGCACTAACTTTTGGACTACTTGATAGTTTTTAATGAAATTTTGAGGAAAGGAAAAGATTTTATAAATAATGACTTACACTTTTTAACATGCAATTATTTTGTTATCATGCAGTGATTCTTAACTTTATTTATAAAGTTAAAGATTTATATTAAAATTTGTCAAAATTATATTATAAGTATATTTATAAAGTATATAAAAGTATAAAAACAAATATAAAGTATATTAAAGTATAAAAACAAATATAAAGTATATTAAAGTTTAAAAAGATATTAAAATATGTTAAAGTATGTATAAAGTACATTAAAATATAAAAACGTAAAACGAAATAAAGTATAGTAAAGTTATATTTATAAAACTAAACATTTGTCAAATTTATTAAATTATTTCTCCTAAATTTAGTCCTTCTTTCATGCCTTTATATAACAGAAGTTTTGTTTATACACGCTTTTGAAATTGAAAAAATAATTTATAATTTCTTGCATTTGGTGTTTTATATATATTTATAAATTTTTTATTACTCTCTTCCGTACGGCGCTCGTCCGCCGCGTAACGTCACTTGACTAGCCGCGAGCCGCAAGCAAACGTATTAAATTGAGAAATTGACAGACACAAGAGTTGGTCCAAAAACTACTTACAACAAAGTGTTTAGACTAAAGAACTTAAACAATCAAATGCTTTCGGCAATTGTCGACTATAGTCGACGCTCAGCCGTACAGACACATTCGGCGGCCGTCGACTAAGGTCGAAGCTTGGCCTTACAGATACATTCGGCAGCCGTCGACTATAGTCGACGCTCGTCCTCAAGAGGTTAATAAAGTTAAACATTTGGCATGATACTTACAGTATTGTTTGTTTGTATGATACGATTTAAAGCAGTCTCCAAGGTGTAGGAAAACTTCAGATTTACACATGTAAAAAGTTTCTCGACGTATTTTATGAAAGGAATAAACACGACATCGTCTTCTGACATTTATATTCTGGTAGAGAATTTTTATAGGTTTGTGTTGTTTTATGTTCCCTGTAAGTCTGTTCGGTGGATCAAAACGAGAAGTTCGTTTAGAATTTGATAATTGATCTATTGTTGCTGATGTTGATGGTTGATTTGTTGTTATTATTTCTTCAATATGTTGGATGTTGAGGAGAGACTGGTCGGTGAGATATAAGTTCTAAGTCTGAACTTATTTAAAATATCTTTATTGCGCTCCTGTTCTCTTACAATGTTCATTCACGGCTGTTTCTCACTGCGGTACACTCTCCGGCTTGCGGTCCTATACAATCTTTCTGCCCTGCTTCATCTGCGCGATCGATTTATAGTAGATCGATCGTGTCGATTCAGCAGGCCCACCGGTCCTAGCAACGGCCGTGCTAGTTACCGGTGCCGGTGTCGACACATGCTGCGTTGCATTTCGGACAATGCGGCGATGTGTCGCACTCCGTAGCAACCAGCAGTTCTTCCTGAAACTGTTGTTGCCCTGCAACTTAACCAGGTCATTGAGCAATGACAGTGATGGTTTATCACATTGCTCAATGGCCTCACTCTACTTAACTTTATCTTAAAATTGCTGCACAACAAATATCAAAATGCAATGTGTGAGACGTTTGCAACCAAGCGTCAGCTTCTTTATATTTAGCAGAAGAGTATGGAATCTCATTTTTGATCTTGAATTAAGCTTTTGAAAGACGCGGAATGAGTTGAATAAAGCACATTGAGAAAGATACAAAAATATCTTTTTAGACCATTTTAAAATTTTTCTAAAGATGGAATTGTATGCTAGATATTCATCAGCACGATCAACGCCGCTCATATAATTATTGTAATTTACTACGCAGGAAGGTTTCTTGATGTAAAGCTGTGTGTCGCGGTAGGTTTTATCAGTATTTATCAGATTTGCATTATGGATTGTTGATATCATTTGAATATTACGGTTTTTAACATTTCTCCACATCTGTATCATACTTTCTTTTTTTCTCTTATAACGTATTTCTCTAAGTTGCAGTTTTATATTTTTTAAAGAATCTGAACTTCCACGATTTGCACTTATTGTTCCACACATTCTGACTTTTTTTGGTCACAACTTGAAAGCCAACTTTTCACTGTTGTAAAAATTATCTTGCGTATAGATGATGCCATTTGTTCAGATATGGATCCATAAGCTTTGTAATAGTTCTCCAAACTCATACTCTTTCCACAATACACAGCAAAAATAAAATTAAAATTAAATGTATCCCGTTTTTGATTCGCAAATTATTCTGTTGAGAATTCCATATTTTATAATTTTCTTGGGATTATAAACACAAAATTTAAGCCGTCCCCTCTATGGTATTATACCTTTATCAAGTAAGAGATTCTGTTCTGGTTTATACACACTTCTAAATTTATTTAAAAAATAATCTACAATTTCTTGCATTTTTATTAGTCTGTCTGCGTTTGGATGGATGTTTGCATTACCAGAAAAATGAAGGAAAGTATATACTACCATGATCAAAAAATAACCGGAATTCATAAAAAGAAAAGTACATGTTTATTCTTCAAAATTCAAGTTGTCCTTTTCAAAGTAGTCCCCGTCGGCTACGATGCACTTGTGCCAGCGTTTGATCCACCCCTCAAAGCTTTTCTGGAAGTCGGTTTTTGGTATAGCCATTAGTGCCTCCAGAGATTTTAGCTTTATTGCCTCCACACTGTCAAAACGAGTTTCTCGTAGTGGTTTTTTGAGTCGATCAAATAGGAAGAAGTCACATGGTGCCAGATCAGGTGAATTGGGCGGTTGTTGAATGGTATTGGTGTTGTTTTTGACGAGAAACTCACGAATAATCAACGCATTATGAGATGG